TATGCTTCTCCATTTATCTTCACAATGTTTGACTTCACTGTGGCCACGCTAGATTCTGCCATCAAATGGCCACACTATGCTCCTCCATCTATCAATCTGTTTGACTTCACAAGATTCTTCCACTCCGTGGCCATTACCCCAGCGTCCTTGGTTTTGGAGTCTTTCGAAGGCCCGGGTGGCTCCGGATCGATCTCGTAGCCGTAGCTGAGGTGGCCGTACTGAAGCACAGGGAGCCTGGCTCCGAGCCCCATCGCACGGCTATGGGAGAGGGAGCCAAGACTTCGATTCTTTTGAATCTATTGATCATGTCTTTTGTGGACATTGACGCGTGGTTACATACTTGGTTATATAAGCCAGGTGATCTGAAAGCTCCTGTTGCCTTCGAACTCTGAAAGCAAAACAAATGCCATGCGCCCAAGGTGCATCTGCTTCAGCATCAATTCTTGGAGCATCAGCTTCTGCATGAGTTCTCCTTGGTCTGCCGAAGCTTGCAGTTCCTTCAATTTGAGGAACATCTGGACCATGCAAGGATGAAAAAAGAATTGCTGTGCGTATTCCCATGTTGTCTGTTCATTCAGTGTGTAGTTGGTGGTTGCGTTTGATAGAAACCCTCAACAACGGTAGAAGTGTCAGTATCATGGCCACGGTCACTTTTACTAAATTTTACTGAATGAATCAAGATCAAATCCATTCTGGCCACGCCCCACCTTCTAGTACCATGCCTTGGCCGTCCAACAAGGATGTCCTGTTTGTTTGATCCCTGGGGCTTAACCGATTTCGCCAAGCTGCCATGGTACTCGGCCAACAAGGATTCCAACTTGTCCTGTGCTTCCAACAAGACCGGCTGTGTGGGGATAGATCCAGGCCAGTGCCAAAGAAACCAAAAACTCCCGCTGGCACGTAATATTGATCCCCGCAAGCAACAATCAAACAACACCTCTTGTGAGCTTTCTTGTGACACGGGTTGGTGAAAAAGCACGTGAACCCCGGAAATGGTGCTCTTCAAAGAGAAAAAAACATACGTTCCTTTCTCTCCACTCTGCGATGGGTGCCATCTTTCAAATAGTGTTCTTCTTGGCCTCGTTCGTGTCGCCGGACGGGTCCTGCGCCTTGCTGCCAGAGGCCCACGTCTCGCCCGGTCGGTACTTGGGCGTCGGAGGCGGCTGAGAGACCCCCTCCTGGCCAGCTCGGTGGGCGAAACCACGGCAGGGGGCGACCAAGCCCGATTTGACCAAGGCGAGGACAGCGCGAATAGCCGCAGCGAGGACGGTGAAGGGGAAGGGTTCACTGAACAGGTCAGAGTCAACACTCATGAAGGGTGAACGGTGTCCGGACTCCTCATCAGCGAAGACAATGGACACATCCGCCGAGCCCATTGTGGGGCGGGAAAAGTGTCCAGCTTCAAAAACAAACCCACACAGTTGATGTCACCTATCCCTGCATGCTGCCTGACACTTCATGAAAACCCTGCTGCGTCCTACTCTGTGTGTGTGTGGTGAAGAGCTAGATTTGGGGTACCTTGATGAGCCTTGATGCCATCAGAAGGGTTTGGTGCGTTCTGTTCTTGTGATCGCTGCTGGTCACAGAACTTGTATTGAATACCCATGAGAATCCAGCATATCGTGCAAGCTTGTGTGAATGCAAGCTGCTGCGGGACGGACACAGAAAAAGGCTCACAAGATCCAATGATCACTTCCTAGGCTGGCAAAACCCACCAATTGATCAACTCTCGTCTCAGTGCACTACCAAGACTTGGCTTCGTCTTCTTGTGGCTTGAAAGGCCCCATAATCTCCAGCCAGTGAGTCACCATGCAAGTCGGTTCAGGTGGAGCGCCTCAGAGTCTCGCCCAGTTGTCACAAACTCAGCCCCCCTGCTGCACAAAAGACCGGGGAGAAGAAGAGGAAGATCGAGCCTCAAACCCATCCAATGGAGGATCTGAAAGGAGAAACTCTCGGATCTCCTACAGGCCCTACCATCAACTTGCTGATTGATGTCTTACAAGGGCCAAATAGCAAATGGAGTTTGCTTGGCCGATGTACATAGGTATACCCACCTGCCGTGCAGTGGAAGAATTCTGAAAAGGGTGCCACGTACTTCCAGTGAAACGAAAAGAAAAAAGCCCTCCGCGATTTTGAAGCGACTTTGAAGTGATGGCCATCTGTTGCTGTATCAACAGTCGGTTCATGCTGGCTCCATGAGGAGTCGGTTCATGCTGGCTCCATGAGGTAACTAGGCACTGGATGGCACTGGTCTGTTGCTACAGCATGTACTCTGGCCCAAGCACTAAGTTGCGCCCCGTGGAGCCTCAGATCTCTCTCTAGATCTCTCTCTCTCTCTCTCTGTCTGGCCTGAACCCTGGCGTATCCTAGCGTCCTGTTCTATGCAACGCCTGAAATGTCTATGACCCCACCACGAGGATCAATCATCCGAGAATCCCGCAGCCACACCCACAAAACTCTGTTCCTTCGTCTATGGCCCTGACCCACAAAGTAATTTCGGGCTGAGAGGATCTGGTCGGTGCGCAACAAGAGCAAGGTGATGCCGCAAAAGACGAACATGCCTGGCTCAGAAATGGCGATTTCTGGTTTCAACACACAAAACTGCAGAGAATGGGCAGAAATGCAGGTTCCAATGCTCACTCACGAGTGTCCCTTTTTGGCAGGGATTTATGAGGGCTGCATTGCATAGGAGGACTTCATAGGATGACCAGATTGCATAGGAGGGCTATTCCTCTACATAGCACAGCTTCACCCAAATGAGAAACGCCACTGTCATCAAATGGATGACCAGATTGGGACTGGCATTGAAGGGGCTTGCCTGGGCTTGGGATTTGGGCAGCTGGTCATGCTTGGATGTCCAAAGAACGACGAAAGGCTAGAAAAAAAGGGAACCGTAGTACAGAAAAGAGTGTGTTCTTCAGAACACCCCTCTCCGTATTCTTGCAAGTTTGCTGGAGGTTAGCTGGAGCTTGCTCGTTGTTTATAACATCACCGGTTCCCTTCTCCCAACTGAATTACGGTGCATCGATTCACCGAGGTGGTGCCCGCACCGCTCTCCCTCACCTGCCCACGCGGCCACCGGTGCGGCCAACTCGGTGCAGACGTAGGCAAGGCCTCGGCGGTGCAGACGCGCCAGCGGGCCGGACCCAACGGGTGATTGGGCGTTGGGGAAGTTGAAGGAAAGTGACCCCCCTTTCATGAAACATGAAGTGATGTCTTTTCATGGCTTGTCTGGAAGGTTGGAAGGTCCTTTTTCGTGATTGGAGTTCCTTGACTGAGATGATTGGTTTCGTTGGCCAGCGCTTGGAGGGTGACAATGAACCTGCAGCAAGGGTCGTCGGATGCGATTGAACACAAGAAGCTCTAAACCTGAAAGAATGCGACCATCCTGGTGTCACTAAATCCCCTTCATGAGAAACGATCGAACAGCTCCGTGTGACTGACCTGCGCTCGCGCCCTTCTGCTCAGGAGCAGTAGAAGCAAAAGAAGGTGGCCAAAGAGCTGGTGCCAGCCTCAAGTGATGTGGCCATCCGTGGAAAGGTGACCAAATCCCCAAATGTGGACAAGTTCCCACCAATGTGTCCTACAGAATTTGGGGGATTTAGGGTTTATGTACGGTCATGATATACCAACTGTAGCCTGAAGAGGTAGCACTTAGCACTCACCCTTCCTAACATTTTGTTGGCACAAAACAGTGATCAAAAAATCCCACCGTGGAGAATGGAACATGGTGCACATTGGAAAAATCCAACGGAACATCCGGAAGTGATCTGCCTAAAGCCTGCTCTTCGTGCCGTAGTACCGTAGTCCCCTTTGCTGGTCGAGACCGAAAAAACATTCGCGGCCAAAGCGGGGCTGAGCGCGGAGACGCTCATGGATACGCGGCAGAAGGCATCGTAAGTTTGGAAGAACCTGGGCGAAAAAAGAAGCCAGAAAATGTCTCTCACACACCAAGAGGCCACAAACATCCAGAGATTTGCAAGAGATTGCAAGAATGAGAACGCAAATGACGAGCATGATACAAATGCAGGGGGAAGGGAAATGGTGTGTTGATGACAATGATGACCATGTTGGCGATGGTGGTGATGTGCTTGAAGCTGAGCAACCCCCTGTAAGAGCTCCAAGAGCATTTGGAGTGCGGGAGTCCTCTGACCAGCAAACCCACCCAAGTGCCACCTTGCAAAGAAGCATCGGGAGAGTCAAACCCCTGAAAAGCATTCAAAACAGACATGTCGAAAGACCTGTGGAACAAAGTCGCCATGGAAATCAAGCAAACTTCCAGGGCCATCCTCCACCAACGAACGTCACCGCCCGGAGTCATCGGATGGCGGGTGCCCCAGCTTGGCAGCCTCTCGGATCAGCCACACGTGACGCCTTGGTTCAGAGAGAACGTCATCGTGAGAAGCAAAGCTTGCAATTGCTTCGTACACGACACAGAGGAAATAATCTTGGAAAGTATAAACTGCAACCAACCAAGGATGCTGCACTATGCCATGCCAAGCCTAGCCTAGCCATGTCAGTTGTTTCTCTAGAAACAGCCGTTCCGAAAAAAGCAACATGTCCAGGTTTGGTTTCTGGTGCAACCCTTCAGCTGCTTGTGCCGTTTTCCGACCACCTTGCACCGGATCATCAACTGGCTCAGCAAAGCTCATGAATATACAGGCCAAAGTGCTGCTTCTCCACAGCACAGTTCACATCAGGATGAAGCTCGGGAGTATCTGAGGCGCTCAGAAAAATCGCCCAAACGATTGGTCTACGGGCTGGCAAGATGTGTGAAGCCAGGTGAAACCCGCAGAAGCTCTACATAAATGATATGTCCAAAGGGTCACAATGTCCGATCTCACCTCAGAACCCGGGCCGGTCCAATCCGACCTCTCCCAAAAACGCACCGAACACCGTGTCGCTTCCGCCGGATCCCACCTCCAGCGCTACGCTCCAAGCCCCAAGGGTCCACCGGCCTGGCGGAGGGGAAGACGACGACGAAGCGAGACCCAGACACTGAAAAAGGCCAGGCCAAAAAGCATGAAAAGAACGCCCCAGAAACGACCCAGAAACCAACCTGAAACAAAGTGGAAACGCCCGAACTTCGGAGCCCGAAACATCCGGAAACACGGAAGAAACAAACCGAACATGTCAAAACAAAGGTTTGACATATCCATGCCCAAATCTTCGGTGGATGATGCCCATCCACCGAAGTCTGATTGGTCATCGCTTCAGAATCTCCATGAATCTCCTTTCGCACTCAGGCCGCCAGGCCTCTAAGTTTCCGAGTTTCAACACATCGGAAGGACTCATAACAGGTTGTGCACCTGGAGAAACAACTTCCTCATAAAGACCAAACCCACTCAAAACAAAGTTACGTCCAAGCGGTGAATTCCACTGCAGTAGGTAGGTGAGAACTACAGAATTGGTCGGCAGCCTGCGCCTGCGCTGGGTGGACCTTGGGTTTTGAGCGCACTCGGAGTTCAAGGACCTTCCCTCACTCACCAGCCCTGCGGGGTCGCTCGTGCCTCGCTTGATTGTCCTGGCACACAGGACAGGTTGATCGATGGACCCCTTCTGACCGCGGTGGTCTGACTGGCATCATATGGTGATCTCTCACTTGACTGGCATACTAGACCGTCAAGCCAGTGTGAGTGTGAGCCACTTCTGCTTTCGGTTGGGGTGTCACGGTTGGGATCTCTGGAACATCATTTAGGGCACACCCTATCCAACCCAGCAACTTCATATGGTCTGGCATTCAAAAGCATGTCCAAATTGGACCATCTTCAACCTGCTTTGCTTGTCTTCTGAATGGTCAGGGCTTGAGGTTCTTCGATCAAGGCGTGCACCAAAATGCAACCAAACGTCCATACATCTCAGTTGTTGGTTCGTGAACTTGACTGTCTCAAGCTCTTGTACTTGCTGTCTGTTGCATACGGATGAATGAAGTCCATCCTAGCACGAGTTGCAACATCGTGGTCAACTGGTCAACCTCAGTGCTTCTCATCCCCCAGCCACCGGGCACCTCATGATGGACATAGCTCTCCTGCAAAGTTCAAGCAGGACATGTCCGAGACCCGAAAGTTGAAATGTTCTGAGTTGGCCCGGACCCAACAGAAGAGACATCAAGTTCTTTGATCTGCTCTCTTGCCATGAGTCCAAAAAGCAAACAGTACAAGCCATCAATGTGTGAAGTCGTGGCGAACCCAGCGAAGTGCAGGTTTCAAGTCCCCAACTCCGTCGGTGTACATGGCAGGAACTTTTCGCTGGCGAATGCTTGGTCTGACCGCGAATGCTTGCGATGGCGCAATGCCTTTGGCATGGTCCAACGCTTAATAACTCGCCTCTTTCAGCGGCCCAGCCCCCACATTGGCGGGCGGCCAAAGTTGGGCATCGGAGGAGGTTGTAGCGTAGGAGCTATGATTGTCTGCTTTGCTGATCTCCGAAAAGAAAGACTGCTAGGTCTAGGTTCTACAAAAGATCTGGAATATGTGGGTGTGTCTTAGAATCAAGAAACCCCAAACCCACTTTCCGTCGGCTGTGTCATTCCATTCATGTGGGCCACAAGCTCAGTGTAGGGAAAAACCTGTGAGGGGACCAAATTGAACAGTTGCCGACTCCCCCAAACAACCAACAGAGATTTCTGTGGCCCGTTGGCTCGAACTTCCGGGAAGGCTTTTTTGGGTCGCTCACCATGCCGTGTCTTCTCCGCTGAGTTTCAGCTCTCCGCCCAGGAACTCCTCCCCCATCGCTTCCGTTTGGATGCGCGAGCATTGTCTTGGCACATCCACCAACCCCTCGGTTGGTGGTGACAGCCGACACGAGTGGAGAACATTGGACCACACGCCAAGGCGGCGATCCGCAAGTGTGGGGACTTAGACTTGTGCATAAACAGATGTTTGGAAAGGACGTGTTAAGACCCCAAAACAGAAATCCCCTGACTTCCGAGGGCTTTCAGATCAGTGCTGCCAGTGCGATCTCAGCCAACCTGCCGATCTCTTGGGGCTGGACAGCTGGTCTGCCACCCAGCTGTCCCCTCCTAGGCAATCTAAAAGAGTCCACGGTCCATCAAAGTGGTTGGGGGTCACAGAAGATAAGGACTGCCCCCCAAGGAGCTGTAGGGCTGCCCCCGGCTTTGCGTGTTGAATGGCATGCACTAGCCTACGCGTTAAGAGCCCCCAGGTTTGCCTGCCGCGGAGGGGTTGAAGATGTGAGGCTTCGGCCTGCACCGGAACTGAGGAGATCCGGGTTGCTTGCTCTTCTCGCGGGGTTGGGCAATGACTGCCAATGTCTTGTTTGAAGGATCGCTGGGTTGACCCCTTTGCCAAGCGAAATGCTGCTTCGGCTGAATGAGGAACTTGAGGCTGGCCATCATGGGAGCAAACCCAACAACGGCATGCCACTTGTGTGAATCATGAGTTTTCCATGCGCTGCGGGGACGGGCCTGCAGCCTGGCCGTTGAACTCCTGGGCGATGATTTCTTTTATTGGGTCAGCTGCGGGCTCAACCAAGCTGCCCATTCACATCATAGAAATGGGAGGACCAGCTCTTCTGGATAGGGGATGCTCATGATACCCCAAGAGTGGGTCTAAACCCCTGGATTAGGGATATTAGAAGGGCCATGTTTCACCGGAGACCCACCTGTGGGTCGGGCTTTGACTTGCCGCAAAGCCGAGTTCCGTTCCCAAACTCGCCCTCTCCTGCCGGAGGAGGGCCACATCCAACGCCTGCGACCAAGGTTTCTTGAAGGTTTCTTGAAGGTTTCTTGACCTGGTTCTTGGGCTTCAGTGGATTCGCTGGGCGGCAAGACATGGTTTTTTGCGACCGTGAAAAGCTGCCATGGACAGGCCATCTCGTACTCTGAACCACATGGAGTCCAAAGAATCCGGCCATGCAAAAAACGGACCAAACACCTTCAAGCTGCTTCCCGTAATCCTTGGCGGTTGATGAGTGAAACGAGTAAAACACTCCTTCCAGAATGGTGATGAATGGTTTACAGTGTATACATCTCCGATCTTGGGGGATCCGTTCATCAATAGTCTACACTACAACACCCCAGTCGCTTCCTGCCGCCCCCCGGGAGTCTCCGGCCTTCGCTTCCCCCTGGATGCACAGGCCAACCTCGACGAAGCGCTCGGGGAAGACCTGAGGACGGTGAAAGGTAAATCTAAAGTAAATTGCAATTCCAATTCTATTTATTTCTTGTTTCTACTAGCAAACATTGCTCCTAGTAGTAAGGCCAGGAGCCCCTAGTAGCGGCGTTGCTCCTAGTAGCGATGCCCTTTGCTCCTGGTAGCGTCCAGTGGAACCCACCTAGGTTTGTATGATCTGCTCAGGATGCTTCGGTCGCCGCTGCAGTTGGTCTCAGTCCGTTTTTCGGGTCGCAGCACCGGACGCGAGCCCGTCGGCTCCGTGCCGTTCCGATGTGTTTCACGGCACGTGCGCCTGAAATCCAACGCTTAACAGCCGCAGATGCAACGCTGCAAGCAACTGCAACAGAGTTCCTCACCCAAAGCTCCCATCCATTCTCCAAAGCTCCTGAGGGCATCAGGCCATTTGAGTTTCTGGATCAGCAATGTATTGGAAGAACTCCAGGGGCGATCCCACCTGCCATCTCTGACTCGCGAGTCAGAGTAGTCGAGAAGATCAAGACCAAATTGGCTCTGAGTGGACGATCTTGTTTCCTACCACAGGGCCCAAGAAGGAGGAGGCTGTATTCACACTGATTCCTCAGTCTATGTCCCGAATTTGAGTATCCTTCTCTGCCAATGGCCAAGCAGTGCTATTTCTAAGTACCCTGTTGCCTCCCCACCGCCCCTCCGATCTCTGCCTTGATGCCCAGCACCTGCCACCCGCTGCGCGTGACCCGAGTAGGTTTGTGAGCATCAATGGCGCACTCCTAGGTTGGTTTGACACTTATCGATCGTCTCTCTTGAGGTGGTGGTGATGAGGTCAGGATAAACTCATGTGCCTAGTACAAAACTATACAAAACTACGAAGCACCAGAAGCCACCGCCGATGATTCCTCTACGCAAAAGTCCAGAGTAAAGGATAATATACCATATATCACCCAGCCACATTTCAGATTTGATCTGGTTGGAAATCTACCACATAGATGTCGAGAATTGTCTACGCCCCCAAAAGGCCAGACCCACTTTGCAAGAGGGCCCCATGTGAGTGATAAGGCCACGTGTGCAAGAGATCGTAGCGTTGGAGCGGTTATATAAAAAAATAACGGAAAAGAAATCACCAAAACTCACATGTTACAGCTCCCTTTCAAAATATCAGTGGTTGACCCAATCAACTCTCAACCGTTTCGTTTCCAGCTTGACTGAAGGAAGCACCGAAACGTCTCACGTCATTTCCTGGCCGTCTGAGAAAAAGAACTACGACCGCCTCCATCCGGAGCAACGAGACCGTCGCGGCACGGCCGAGATCCGCGCGCCTCGAGGCCCAGGGGGATGGCCTCATCCTCGAAGGCTTCGGCGAAGCGCGAAGCATCCAACGAGCCTTGGCAGACCGGGGAAGCCGTTGAACGGTTGGGGACGTGTGGTGGGGGACGTGTCCTGACACGTCACGGTCACCCATTGCTCACCGGACACCGGCCGTTGACAACCCCCCCAGTCCTTTGGACTCGTTGGCCCCACTTCCACCGGAGCACGGCGCGCGTTCAGATCCGCCGAATCCGCGCGGCGCCGCGTGTGGCGCGAAGAGCGGCCGAGCCGAGCTCGACTCAGTCCGAGCGGCCGAAGCCTTCCAGATCCATCAAGTCCCACAGCTCCATCAAGCGCCGGGCCTGGATTCCTGGAGGGGACTCCGATTTCTGGGGGGTTCTGAGAAAGGACCCAAAAAGGACCTACTACTACCACCAATGGAAACAAACCGGAGTTCCTCCAGATTGCACCCACCATCACCCACCCATCTCTTCCATCTCTTCCAGTGTCACGCATCGTGTACCGACTGCGACTCGGTCCTTCGACTCCACCCATTCGACCCCAACAGACCCGACGACCCCGTCGACGGAGCCCGAGCCCCTTCCTTTGTGCACTTGCAACTCGTCAAAGACCACGTCTTCGTTCTTGAAGGCCCCGGTGATGGCCTGGGATGGTCTTTCCGTCGAAAAAAGTCATCGACGTGCTCGGGATGCGTCACGTGCGGTGGTCGTTTTTGGGGGGGAGTTTCAAGCCGGACGTGGGTGACGCTGGCCCTGGGAGACCCTGAAGTCAGGTGATGAGTGAAAGAACCTCAAAATCCGTGCTGCTAAAACCCTCAGTGGCAGCCGCTATGGCATGCTCTGAATGCGGAGCGTCAAAGCCACAAACAGATTTTGGGGAGACACAACGGAATTGGCCAACAGAGCAACCAGAATTGACAAACGGAGCAGAGAAGCTCGCCGACGTCGCTTTAGGTCTCAGGACATGCATCGAATAAAACAATCCTGCCAATCCCACTCTGAGTTCTAGACACTGTGACAAAAGACGCCTCAGACTTCAGTGGAAGGCACGGCGGCGTGAAGAAGCGCAGTGGGGTTCGTTCCAAGAAATCTTGAGTCCCTCAACGAAGTCTTGATGCCAAGATTAGACAAGCGAGTTTCCTTATAATCTTACACCAATTCTGGTTTGGAAAGCTCTCTCTCCCACTTCTTGTATTTGATGCTCCCTCATGTCTGAGGCCAAAGGACCCTTCCAAAGGCCACCAAAGGCGGTAGAAATGGACATAGAAATGGACTTGGGTTGACTGACTCCTCATCCTTCTCCGGCTCTTGCGGCTCAGGGATATCCAAGCTCGGAGCACGCCTGCTCTTTTTTGAACTGGCATTTTTGGACAGTCGCTCAAGCTCGAGCCTCACTATTCCAGGGCACCCCACCAGTGATGATGTTCAAGAGCGCAAAGTAGTTGAAGCCTTAAATGATGCGCTGCTCTTTTGGTTCACACACTGAAGGAGGGTAAGCATGTTTGAGTTGTATGTCAGCTGACGTCTGTAGCCTGCATGTACGTGTCTCTTGTCCATATTAGCTACCAACATACTGCTGATGACTGCTGTATACCAGCGGCATCACGCACATCACAAGGCACCGGTCTTTTTGATGAAAAACTCAGGGATTGCAAAAAGCAGGTCCAGGACTCCGTCGGTCCCACAAGTCCGTCGGTCCCGCTGTTGTGGAGAGGGTTGTGCTGCTGCCAGGTGTATGACAAAGAACGACCACAAATGACACAAGCCCTCTGCACCGGAGAGTAGGGAGAGGAGACTGAGTCAGGTCCCTTGTTTACGTCCCTAGCATTGTGCCCCTCCTGATACTCGAACTCTTCGTCTGCACCTGCCCATTCAGCTCAAAGGTGCAAATGTAGCAAAGGAAGAAGCCAACCCAGAGCCAGGCCTGGCACGAAGTGGATTCATTGTGATTCTCAGTGTTCCAACTTCCAGCAGCAACTGTGCCCAACTGCTCCACACTGCGTGGGCTCCACCTGGTCCAAGTGTTCCAAGACTTCCACAGCATCGTACCAGTCCATGCCATTGCCTTCTTCCGTCGATACGCAAACACGTGATCCACAGACGTCGATGGCGATGGTCGTATCGACGGAAGACCCACAGGTCTGTCGATGGAGACGACGGTTGCCAACATAGGCCGGAATTTGACACAACGATGGCTCAGGAGGACTGCAATATATACTGCAATTGCTGTTATCTAGTTTCTTTGATGCATTTGTCTGTTGTCTACCCTAAACATGAATGAGCTTGTCTCCCAAAATCTGTGCTTTGAGGCATATTGGTCTCTAGGCATCCACATCACCAGGAGCCTCTCCAGATTGTCCCCTCACAACGGGCTCCAAGAAAATCATCAAGAAAGTTGTTCCACACAAATCCAGCAAGGACACGAGGCTTGGGGTGAACAAGAATGCAGATTCTGGAATAGTCGTGCCACCCCAGCTGAGCGCCCTGGCAGGAGCACTTGAATAAAGTGAAGATGGTCTTTGCAAGCGAACCATAGTACCTCAAGAAACACAACTGGCAAGCAGCGCACCCTAAAGATAGTCGGAAATGTTTGGGTGTCAGGCAACAGTGCGACAAATGCCCATCCTTGGGTGACCCCTTGCTGGGAGAATGACCAACCAGTTTTGTATAAGCTTCGCTTCACATTAGCCAGCTAGACGCACCATCTGTGCACAACACCACGCCATCTCCACACGCGCACACCGCGCCGAGTCTTCCCTTCTCCGCCCCGCACTTCTCCAGCAAGACCGACTGCTCGGAGCCGTGCTCGTCCGAGCCATGCTCGTTAGCGGCCTGACAAAGGCAAGGACACTACTGGGGGCTCCTGGCCTTACTACTAGGAGCAAGAAGGGGCTCATGGCATCGCTACTAGGAGCAGGGACGTTACTAGGGGCTCCTGGCCGTACTACTAGTACGAACGGTGCTCACCCACTGCCCCGCAGACGCGACCCGTCGCGGGGGTCGCGAGCCGGTCGGGCGAGGGGTGTCAGCCGGGTCGCGAGAGCTAGGAAAGCAGATGTCAGCGGTGTCTTTTCCTAAGCCAGGCGCACCTAAGGTGGAAAGCTCTTGCTTAGGAGCAAAAGATCAGGCTAGCTAGCAGGAAAGCTTGGCCACTACCAATTCCTATGCCTCAGTGTTCGTCCCAAGCTCCGTTGGAAAAAATGGTTGGAGAGGGCCTAAATCTAAAATGCGTGCACGGTCACCTGCCCATCAGTGCCTTTTGTCGGCAGCCTTCAAATCCAGCGAAGCAATGGCTAAGGCCCAGTTGCACAGAGCTTGGACGATGGGATGGTGGGACTTAAAGTGATCTGCGGTGAAAAAGTCCTTGTTGGTGAAGTACTTCAACTTCCTCATCTTTGATTCGGACATCGCATTCGGGTCATACTCTTTGAGCTTTTCAAGAAAGTCGTGAGGAGTCTTGAGAATCTGCCTAACGCCGGTCCAGCTAAGATCCCGGTCTTCGTTTAGAATCACCATGGCGGCAAAGAAGACCTTATCAATGTTGCCCTCGGCCTCTGGAAATTTCTTCCAGAATTCCATGCAGGCATCTTCCGTGAGCACATGAAGACCTTCTTTGGCTGATTTCAAGCAGTATTGCTGGACAACTCGAGGATCTTTGAAGACCCACTCGATGAACTCCTCGTACTGCAGGAGACCATCTTGACTAATATCTGCTGACCTGAAGCACTGGTCAACTTGTGCTTCACTCATTCCCAGCTGCGTCAGGGCAGCATGCAACTCGTATTTGCTGATTGCTCCATCTCCTGTGATGTCCCATTTCTTGAAGGCCTCATCTACTGCCACCATCATCTGTTTAGTGTTGGCTGCTGTCTTCTTCTCTTTCAGGTCCTTGGCGGCGTCAGACACCTCCTTGCTCTCCTTTGTCTCCTTGTGTTCCTTGCGCTCCTTCCCCTTCGGCTCACCCTCCTTGTGACCCTTAGGCTCATCTCGCTCCTTTTTTTCTCGCTCCTTGGGATCCTTGGGATCCTTGGACTCTTTGGGATCTTTCTTTTCTTTCGGCTCCATGACTGCGACGCAACCGAGGTCAGTCACCAATCCCTTTTTGGGGGGACGTGTTTTTCTTTGACTAGACGTCTACACCTCGTCTGCCTTGGAAAAAGAGTCTGGGAGTCTACAGACTCCTTATGCAACCCTGTGAATTGAATCGCATGCCTAACGCTCTAAACTGTAGGGTCCCTTTGAGCCATCTCCAAGCCAGCAGTGAAGGGCAGATGCATGCAGAACTGTGCAGTCCTTTAAAAATCGCAATGTCTCTTCTTCTTTTTTAAATCGGTTTTCTCAATGTCTCTGGTTTCCAAGCATCCTCCTATCATTGCCTCGCCAGAATATTGAGAGCTTCCTGCTGAGTTTCAGCCAGTTCGGTACTGGCCGCGGTAGAACTTTCAGCCGCACCGTGGTGAAGACGATGCCAAAGAACCACAAGATCACCAGCAACAGACTCAAGGTCCAGACCAAGGAGCCTCAGTGTTTGGTCGGGTCCGTTTTGCGTGGCATTGGGCCCAGGTGCGCCACATCTGTTTTGCTTCTGATAATACAAGCAACCTACAAAGAAACAGCAGGTGTGTATGTGCTACCCTGCTTAAAAAGCCTTTCAACTATGGGCTGCTGACCATGTGCCCTCTTGCTTTGCCTGGTTAAATTGTGTCATGTTGCTGGATGATACTTGCCAGCATAAGATCCTTCACTCAAGTCATCATCAACATAGTCGGCCTGGATGTGAAAAGCAGTTCTAGCGTTTAGACAGAAAGACATCCCTCTCTCAAAATGGAATCAGCCCAAAGACTCCATGAAGAACCAAAAGAAGATGGCTCACGGCTCGCACTACCTTTTGCCAGCTGATTCCAGACCTCCCATCTCCGACCCTCCATGTTTTCCGACCCTCCGGGTCCCTCCGGGTCCCTCCGGGTCCCTCCGGATCCCGTTCCGGGTGGACCCATCTCCGTCGGGGGACGGATGGTGTGCACCAGGGACAACAAGAGCAGTCTCAGCCCGCGAAGGGCCCGCAGGACCCGTACCACGCGCAGCACCCGGAAGATCTTCACCTCGGAACCCCCACGACGGGTCGCTCGACAGGGAAGCGAAGTCGATGAGTCGAAAGAGGTGAAGATCAAGAAATGCCTTTTTGCAAGTGACCAGTCAGTCGCGAGTGACCTGCCTGATGTTGGGGATCTTCGTTTTCGTTTCACCTGGAACCCCCCCCCCGGGTCGAGGCCATGGATGTTGGCGTGACACCGCGTCCTTTGAACTCAACGGCTGAAGGCCGGGGAGGTGGGAGGACCAACCATAACAACCTAAATTTGATAAGGCCTCGTCTGCGCCGTGGCAGTGGCACAGCGAACTGCTGACCAGTAGTTCTTGCGATCTCGAAAACCGAGGTCGTACGCTCATAGCGCCCAAGGTGCCACTTAGAAAGTGCTTTGACCAGAGGGTGTCAGGTGGTGCAAGGTTTGGATTTGTTAGGAATTGTCAGCAGGATCTGGAGAAGCACCAAGTTCTCCTGCGGTTTCTTGAAATGTCCCGGTGGGGCGATGCCCGGAAAGATCGACCGACCCTGGAAAGGATGTCTTGATTTGATCCACCTGTTGTGAAGATAAGCTTTTGCACTGATGAACCATCAACCACTGACCACCCCAATACTGTCACTATATCAGAAACGGGACATCTTCTGTTCAGAGGTGTCAGCAAGCTGGAGACACAGCCTTCCCGCACTGGTGTGAATTAGAATAGGGAGACCACCCCAAACTCACTGATGTCAATTTGTCCTTGCCCTGCGCTCTTGGCCAAAAATGGTGTTCGAATCCGTGTGGCGATCGTCCCCCATATTTCAATACACACGAAGAGGTCTCACCTTGGACGGCTCCCTGACTCCCTGACCAGCCCCCACTTGACGGTTCCCGCACCAGCCGGACGACGCGCACGTACTCTGCACTGAAGTTGCCACCTGCAAGAAAAGCCGTTTGGTGCGCCGCGCAAAACGGGCTTTTGTCCATTTGGTTTCATAATTTAAAATTGAATTTAATTCTAATAGCTTTTTGTTACTACTAGTAAGGCACTTGTTACTACAAGCGTGGCACCTGTTACTACTAGCTTCTTGTTACTAAGAGTTCGTCTGATTCTGCGATTTTTTCGGCACCCAAGGAGTCCGAGTCCCGGCCTGATTGAAGACAATACAGGATCACCCTGAGTGACCAGAAAGCGATCAGAGAGGAAAAAAGTTGAAAAACAGAAACAAAATGACGCTGTTTTGTTTGTTTAAGTGACCCCCAAGAGTTTGGAGTAGCCTTGGGTCCTGCGCAATCCCCTTCTGACAGCTGAACCGAACCGATTTGACCAAGCGAGAAGTGTGAAGCCTGCTCTCAGCTCATTAGCCTGTTAGACCCCAAAAACTGTTCGCTCGACCCTCAGGCTACGGCTGCCCAAAAAAAGGGCAACAGCTGAGGTGCTTGGCGCAGTTTAGAGTTTTTAGAGTTTAGACTGAAGAATTCATCACACGGGGCCCCCGGGGGCATTCGAGTTTTCTCCCGAAAGCCTCAAAGACAATTTCTGTCAAGGTGCTCCACCACACCAAAGAAGACGACCACGGCATCGAAGACATGCCAGGCCCATTCCGCGTTGGTGAAATGCCTGTCCAAGCTCTCCGAGTTGGTTTCATCGATCCGGCTGTGTATGGCTGTGTGGTAAGTAGGGACGACCGGGAAGACGAAAAAGGTCCTCTTTGGAAGGTTGGGGCTTGAGAAGCCGGGAGAAACCAATTCGACCAAAAGGTCGTCATTGAATGTTTGCAAACCCACGCATGTTCGATCAAGAACGTCTTGCGTCCGCTTCCACTTGAAAGATCGCCCTTCGGAGAAGGGAACATGTTCTTGGGGAATCGTTCAGCTTCTTTCTGGAGAAAACCCCCTTCGTGACCTTGTGCTGCCCACAGGAATTGGTAACGATCAGCATTGTACTTTCGCATACTTTCGCTAGACCTCAGATCGTTTGGGCCAAGGAGCTCTTTCACGCCATTTCCCACCACCAGCAGCAGGAACTCGATCTGAGGGGGTCCGACAAACGCACTCACATCATAGAGACTTACAGGGAGACCATCCAGACCTGCCACCTGGTGCTGTCATGAGCTGTGTTAAGCATCACCCATCTTCTTCAATGTTCCTCTGCAGACTGTACCAGTAGAGACCCACCAAATCGGGTCAAGGTCGTGTCCACATTCCAGAAGCATACCCAAACCATGCAAAATTCCAAATTGGGAAAGTGAGCTGATGTTCGGAACTCCAAGGGGGCAGTGACTTCTTGTGGCAGCCAACCTGTGATGCGAAGAAAATCAGTAGATCAGGTGAGCAAACAGAAACCTTTGATCCATTGTCAAAATCCATTGCCTTGCCCACAATTCGGATGAAGCTCCATCCCTACCAACATCACTTGAGATTGGGCTGTGCTTAAGCCAACCAACTAAAAAAAGGGTGCGAATCCCCGTTTCCTGAATTTGGTAGCCAACTGAAACTACTGGCAGCCAGACAGTATCACTGCATCTCACTTTGCAGAAACAGAGCAGGTGATTGTCTTGCCCCACTCCAAGAAGAAAAATAAATGACATGGCAAAGATCATTGATTGGTTATTAAAACAACTATATAATGGTAAAATACAATAAGTTATTATGGAAATGAACCCAAATGCAAATGATTAAGATGTAAATTTCTTGATGTAAAAAAAGAAAACAAAATAACTGTTGATAGAATGTAGGATCTCTTTCAAAAATTGGATCAAAGAAAATTGTATTAGAATGAAGATAATCGAATTGTTAAAGAAGTGTTCCAGATATGATTGGTAATGTTGACAAAAGCATGAACGTTGTAATCAAGAAAGCCCAAGGAAATAATGGTATAAAAGATCATATCAGATAATAAGATCTCAATAAATGAATTGTTGTCCAAAAGTTAAGAGATGTAAGGCATGAAGATATACCAGAGACTATTAATCCAAATATAGTAGTTCCTGTACTTGAAGGTGATAAAGTCATTAAAAACGTGGATATTGCTGGGTAGAGCATCCATCCTGTACTACCTCCAAATTCTGAGATTAAAGAAAGGATCAGGAAAAGATATGAAAGCAAAAGAATTAAGATAGAAAAATTATTGACTTTAGGATACTAGGATATAATAGGATATATGTACCACTTCTTTAACCCCACCACAACTTGGCCGCGCTGTACTGTATGCAGTGATACAGCATCGGCCCTTGCTTATACTGGTTCTAAGAGAGTCCATGTCTGATGACCAATCGACACCGAGGTTTTCCTGATCTCATTGGCAAAAGAATAACGTCTGATGACCAAAACAACCGAACGAGCTGAAGTGAAACCCTTGGCCGATCGGCCGGGAAGGCATCCCAGACAGCCAACCGGACGACATGTTGAGAGGCAAACTCAAACGGCACCAAAGTGATCTGATCGAGGCCGGCACCAAAAAAATCACGTTGTACATGACACCGGCCTGGGCTGAATCGAAATGTGTTGGGAAGATTCAGTTGACGGAATGCAAGACCTACAGTGGTGCAGGATCTTCTGTGAAACCAATGAGGCGCTTCGTGGGGGGCCTTCTGCCAGGTTGGTGCAGGGTTTCGCTTATGGGTTTGCCTGCCTTCACTCCCAAAGATTGGCCATTCAGCTTCACTGCACCGCACCCTGGGCCCAAAACGTAAACATCGTATATAAGTAGATTTAAGAGATGTGCAACCATTGATGTGACTAATAGATGATTACAATAACTGCTAGGTTGACATCGCTATCGTCAGCCTTGCATCTTATTCCTCACGCATTTTCTGAGGCCAGCAATTGTTTAGCGCAGGGGCATACTTTGCAAACGTGAAGTGCACAGGTAGATACAAGTGACGTGTATATAGGTGCAGCAAACACTGTGGACCATGCAGGACCCTATGTGAACCACTTCTTTCCTCTCGAGATGTTTCACGTCCTTCGGTTTTGCACAGATGCCAAGGCACAATATCCAAAGATCTCCTAGGCTCGAACGGAAGTGCGGCTGGCCAGCGAACCAGTGAGTTTCAGAGTTCTAAAATGTCCATGGCTGATCCATCCAGTTCAGAGGTCGAGAGCATTTTGTTCTAGGAACAAGTGCATCGCTACTAGTAACAAGTGCCTTACTAGTAGTAACAAGAAGCTACTAGGAACAAGTGCATCGCTAGGTTCTTTTGCTTCAGCCTGCTCCATCTCTTGGTGCATCTTCCGACTCATGATCGACGACTCGCTCGGTTCAACCGACTCGCTGCTGTGCGAAGCCATCCTCCAAGGTGTTCGGTCCGAGGCTCTGAGTCTCTAGGGAGGGATCGCCACTCAGGAGCTCCACTTCGATTCCACAGAACACCTCGAGCTCTCGGAGAGCTCGGAGAGCTCGATGGAGTGGACGACGCACCGGCGTAAGGGGGGTGGGGGGAGCCACGGATGGACAACAACCAGAGCTTCTGACCGTGAATCTGCACCCAAAATAACATAACTCTGTTGCAGTCTCAGGGTGTTCCCGGCTGATGGGTTTGCTTTGGGTGGAAAACCGAATAGCCTACTCTCCGAGGAATCATGATCAGTTTAACGCTGCGCCATAGCCACGACCCATCAGAGGATCGAGGATATGATAATCGAATGGACAGGGGTTAGTGCGACCAAGAGACCACATTGCTGATGATCAGCAGCATGGATCCAAGCTCGAACCAGTGCGAGTTCCTTGGTGCTCGCGCCAACAGAGCGAAGACCGGTGGTTCCAATCTATCTCACACTCCTTCAATCCGCTGGCCTCTCCGTCTTCGGACCTTGAGCTCCTCCCATCCACCCTCTCATCCACCCGAAAAATCCTTTCACCAGGCAGCAGCAGCAGCTTCAGCTGGAGGTGGAGCTTCTGAATCCGACCGACGTTCGACATCTGCTGCACCTGGCGGCCCATTTTCTTCGTAGGCTTGGCAAATCCATGCAAATCCACTCATGGCGGCAAACAGGCGAGGAAGACCGTGACCTTCCGATAGGCTTGCCGGTGCTTCATATTCTTTTCTGAGCGGAAGCAGAAAGGTGCGGCAGGCTTCCGCTCCAAAAATGGAAATCCGAATCTTTCGGAGAGTTCTGCAGGTTGAGTGACGCGGTTCGCAACTGGAGTTCTCATGTCTACTGCGTCCAACACGAGCGACGCAGCGAGCGAAGGTTGGGAAGAACCCGCACGCGCGGAAGAATCATCGAAGCAGGCCTTGATCCGGAACCCACCATCGGGATTTCCTGTCGAGAGACCGTCTCGAGAGACCGCTACTGCTCTCCACTATGTTTGGCATAGTTTTTCTGGTAGCCGACTCAGCACTCAGGGTCTTCTTTGGAGCATGTCTGTGATTTGGGAGCCATTTCACGGATTCTGCGCCATCCCTGATTCGAATCAAGGCATGCTCTTCCCATGAAGTCAACTTCTGAGGAGGAAATATGTTCTCCTTCTTGGCACGCAATCTTGCGCTAAGATTGTGGTTAGCTGCTGGAAAGGCACGGATGCAAAACAGCAAGACCATTGGGTTATGCAGAAACCAATCCACGAACCCAGCAACTGAATGGTCTGGGCATTCGCACCTCGCGCGGGATTTGTCGGTCGTGCCGTTAGGGATCACCGACTCCTGACCGATGGGACGGGCAGCGACGACCAAATGCCGTTGGTGCATGGCTCTTCCAGGTGGCACGTGGATTTCAACATGCGGTGTGTGTCCTTTTGGGGGGGGCTCCTCCAGAGTCTAGAGGTTCCTGATGGTTCCTGTCCAACTTCCAATGAGGGGCCAAGCTCACATCTTCAGGCGCTTTCGGTCCTCGAAGCCTGCAGATTGGCCCGACTTCCCACTTGGACGGGCTCGTGCCTGTGGAGCTCGCGGGTGTCCAAGATTTCAAGAGCTCTACGACGTCAGACTGCACTGAGCTGTGTTTGATCTGCTTGGGAACCAAAATAATCCAAATAATCAAATAAAAGTGAGCTTGAAAGGACCCTTCAAGATGAACCATGCAACTTCGTAGAGTCTTCCTGGCTTTCAACCCCAAAAAGTCCAACCCTCCAACCACCCGCCACCCAGTCGCCACCCACTCGATCGTCGCCTGTGAGTTCTCCGACTTGTTCGACTTGTTGGACTTCCGGACCACCTGCGCCGAGACTGGGACCGGGGCAGTTTCCGGTTTCCTGTGTCCAAACTCCAAACCATCCCACAAAAGAAGGACACCGGGAAGTTCAGGTCCAAAGCCTCCAGGAACCTCCAGCCTGAACCTCCCTGTGAACCAGGCCGCTTGGACCACAGGCTGGCGCCTTCACGGGCTCCGGCGGCTCCGGCTTTCCACTCGCCATCCCCTCAGATCAGCTTGGCCATGAGAGGGTACGGTGCTTTCTTCATGACCGCCAGGTCCTAGTTGGGGAAGGAATATGGAAAAATGACGAAACGACGGTGGGCACGATGATGACCTTCCAAACTGCACAATATGCTGGGGCTAAGTGGCATCTTCTCGTTGAAATGCTCCGAGCAAAAAGCAAAGGAAACAGGAGAGAAGGCCTTTGACAGCAAATGGCACTACGCGAACAATGCGCCTCGACTGCATCATAGTGCACCTGCCCCAGCCAAATCGGTGGCACACCGCCGTGTGTGACAGAGGCCCCAAAAAAACAAACTCCAATCTCTCGCCCCCCATGTCTTACAACAAGGTGGCTCAAGGTTTCAGGGGGAGGCAGCCACAGAACCAGTGCTGTTGGCCTACGTGGCTCCTGAGTGGTAAAGTCAACTCATTATAGACTTGGGTCATCTTGAAAGTATGTACATACTAGTTCTGACTGCAATATATACATCTCTGGTAACTTCTGCTGCTGCACAAAAAATAAGGGTAGCACCTATACCTGAGAAGGGGGACGAAAGCCAGCAGCCGCCAGACGAGTGTCTCTTTTTCTGGCGGGCGTCGCGGCACAAGACACATGGTCGGCAGCTTGCGAGTCAGCGGCGCCGCGGATGCGGGGGGGGTATGTAACGGTGATGGAGGGAGCAGAGAAGCAAGCCGGGCGGTTTTTTTGGGATAAGTTTGGCATGAAAGAAGTAGTGAAAGAGAAGTGCGATACGTTGTATGTTGGTGTCGGTCATCATCAAAAGGCAATGTGTTTTTGTCACACGCGGGAATGTATGCATCTTTTGGAAGTTGGAAGGCGACATCAGCGTTAGCGAAGGGGAAAAACCGTCTGAGTTCGAGTGGTGGGATACCCCGCGCGCGCGCAGGAAGACCTTCTCCATAGTCAGCGTTGCCGCGCGCGAGTACGGCATGCGTTTGAAAAGAAGCAGTTATGTGTTTGTTACATTTGGAGTCTGAGTGTTTGAAGTTTGCAACGCGTACTGCGGTACGTCGAAAAGCGGCGTTCGTTGATTTGGAAGAGTGAACGGGCACCTCTTAGCCGGGACACGGACGTTTGATCCCATGGCCCACAAAAGGAGGTCCAGCCGGAGTAGCTTGCGCTCGCAAAGGAGTGAGGATTTGTGTGCCTATCGATGCGCTTGAGTGAGTCATGTTCTGGCTCGATCCAAAACACGGTCTTTTTCCTTTAAAGTGGCCTTCTCTATTCTTCTCTTTCTTATCAACTCTGTGCCTTTCTCACTCAGAGGCCTTGACTTTGGCGCCTGCGTCTCTAGATCTTTGGGCCGTGGACCCAGGCTGACTGGATTCGGCCAAAGAGGCGACGTCATGACTCAGTAGTATGTAGAATCTATCTATCTATCTATCTGCCTATCCTATCCATATGGTGCAAATATAGTTTTTGCTAGGGGGCAGGAACCCTATGCGGATATGTAGTCAACCTCGGACTTGAACTCATGTCACTGGGAATGTACGGGTTGTCCTGGGAGCTCGTATCCTACATGCGGCTCAGTCTGCATGCGGCTAGTCTGCCCTGTACGTGGGCCCCTGTCTCCACTCGGTTGCTCAATGCCCGTTGTCCAAAGAGCCTCCAAAGCCCTTCACGACGCTAACGTTGCACTACTCGGCGTCCACTACACCACTCGCATCACCACAACCCATTTTCACTGCTTTTGACCCTCGCTTTGGAGCGCTCTCCCCCGCCAAGCTCTGGGTTCACCCTTTCAAAAGGTCCTCCTCAGCGACCACTCCCCCGTCGTCTCATAAACATCGACAGCCAGCGCGCGCGCGCGCGCTGGACAGCCCTGCTGCCGCTGCATCAGCCACTATTCGCCACCTGCACTCCCCGTCTCGCACTGCCCCAGTAGCCATCAAGCCTCGTGCTTCTGCGCACACAGCACCGAATGCCGCAAGCACGCGAGGTCACCCGGAAAGCACGGCCAGCCTAACAGTCGTTGGAGGCTGTCCTTAGGCCTTGGGAGATTTTGGAGGAAAGGGCACCACCGTGCGCATGAAATCACCCACTTGGCCACATCCACGGTGGCATAGATTAGAACAACCGCGATTCTGCGTGATGGCATATCTATCCGGGCTAATGCAAGCCCCTGACAAGATGGCCACCTCGTGCGCTCCCCGGCAACGGGAACTATCAAAGGCAATACCGCGGAGTTGAACCACGTCCTTACGATCCGAACGAAGGAACTTTTCCCACATGCTGAACCCGCCAAGACTCACGCAAGGCATGGCACGTGGCTTCCACATCATTGCAGCCAGGTCGCAAGGAACATTGAGCCGTAGTTTCGGCATGTTGCCAAGTGAAAGGACTAGTCTCAGTCCACTTCAAGTCTCGCATCCACCGACGACCGCGTTTCTGCCGCCAAGCGATATTGTGCCAACCGGTCTGGTTGCGTTTGTTTTTGCGACCACCCCCCCCCACACCCCCTTAACTCACTTCGTTCGCCCTAAAAGCTCAAGCCTGGCCTATCGGCTGGCTTTCGTAATATATGGTTTATCGCCTTCGGACCTCTTTTTTCTGACCTCACACAGTGGGGTTTCTGCGGTACCAGGAGCCTCGTGCGGCAATACCAAGGCCGGGGCAGCCGGGGCAAGGACCTGGGCATGCTGCGTGGAACGTACGTGGTTACCTGTCCTTGGTATTTGCAGGACTCAACGATCTGGCGCCCCACTGCCCTGTCCTTTCAACTTGCTTGGGACAGCCATGGTTTCTTTTGCTGCGTGCACCCTGAAACATGGACAGCTTGTCCTATCAAGGGCATCTTCATGACACATTGCTGATGATTTATGATACTCCCTCGTTGCCTGTGTGGAAAAATCCAACTGGATATCTCTCCACTTACAACCAAAGTTCCATGAAAAGACCCGCTAGATAGTGGAGCTCCCATTTTCATATCAACTTTTGCCACTCGTGGAAGAGCTCTGGGCTATCGCACTCGCACCTGTCTTCCAGGAATTTTCGCACCCTCGCCCTTGGCTTCCCAGGAATGAAGGCTGTAGTTGGAATTAGTTTGCTGAAGAGTCTTCAGGAAGCCTGTTGTTCGGGATGCACCATTCTGGTACCACAGTGGCATCCTCTGGGTCAAGTGACATCGAGCCAAGTGGAATCCATCGAGCTTGCGCTGAATCCGGAATCCGGCACTCACTGGGCACCGAGCTAATGAGGGCAGCTCATCACTGCGTACAGCCTGGCTCACGGTGGCGGTGCTGTGCCATTGATCCTTCAAGTCTGCGTCTTCGTATCGTCTTGGTCACCAGGTCCCAAGAATCGAGCGACCGCGAACGAACCAACGGGTTCGTTACCGCGGTCAATTGCCCAAATAGACGTTTTCAACGTCTCCCTTGCGACAGGAACGTCTCCCCATATGTGCTCCCTCCCTTTTTCTGACTGCCAATCCAATCGCCCAAGGACTTCTTTCCCTTGGTTCCCGAAAGGCTGAGTTCACCAGGCCTCCAACCTGGGTTCAGCCTGAGAGGCAAGATAACGAGAGAGATCCGTGATCGGGCGCGGTCCAATGGTTACAACGAACCTCGGAAGGACACTTGGCCAGGTCTTCTTGAAACTGAGAAGAACCACCGAAAAAGCCTTCGGCCCAAGGTGCCATGGGTGCCATCGGCCCAAGGGCACTGCACCCCAACCTGCCCCATACCGTTGAAGCTTGGGACCACGTTGAGCGAAAAGAGTCGGAGGAACACTTGAGATGAAAGCTTGGCCTGGCACCGGACCTGTTCTGAGTTGTTCACAAGCTGGCCTGCGATGGTTACTGGTTGGAATGATCCGTTGTTTCTACCCGCCGCTGGAGACCTCACTTGACGTGTACACCATAAAGGAAAAACTGCACTTTCAAGCATCCTCTAAGCATACGATCGCCTCTCTCCCCAAAGGAACTCTCTTCTGCACGACCATTGCGCTTCGCAGCACCCTTTGAGTTCGAGAGGGTCGGACAAGTGGCCGCCAGACTTTTGAGCGCCGAGAGCTCTACATTCATCTCCTCACAGATTCGCACCAGTTCCGCCTCAGGATTAGCTCTGAGCAGTTTTGGGCCAATCTGGATCCTCTTGTGGCACAAGAAAGCTTTGGCGATGCTTCACCTAACACCTTCACCTTCGAGCCCTGTTCCAAGACTGAAGGGTACAGTAAGGCTCCAGAAGGGTCACGCATTTTGGCCCAGTTGCATGATGGCCGCTCAGGGTTTCTCGCATCTCGTGCACCACTCTCTCACCTGAAGCATCGCATCGCGCGAGCCGCATGGGCAGAGGCCGAGCAGGCCTTCCTCAATGAAAAGAAACAGTGGAAGAAGTCGAAAAAGAGGTGATTTCATCCAGACTCTCCACCTCGACGATTTACTGTACCAGTTGGAGACCTTTTGGGAGTCTAATCTTTCCTATTGCAGAACTAGAATAGATCTCCTGCAAGGAAAGGACAGTGTGCGTCGAATTGGTAGGAGATAAGGGTTGAGCTCTGGATGACAACGAATATTTGTCTATGCTATTCTATGCTGATCAATTGTTAATCCTTCCACTTGTTGTTCTGGCCATTTTGTGGCCAATGAAGCCTTGCAAATCTACTGTAACTACTGAACTGGACCAAGTAGCAAATCTGTGCAGCCATGGAGTCGTCCCCCATGGCGTCCCACAAAGGAAAACACCGCCGGCCACGGGGGTTCGTCGAGTGATCAAGGCAATTTGCAAAAACATCCTACGCTGGCAGCTTTGCAGCTTTCCCCTCTTCAACTTCTGCCAATGATGAAAACCTCTTCTGCGCGGAGTCCATGTAGAAAGTCTTAATCCAAAAACTCCAGATATCTGCTTCTGACAATCCAACAGCTTAATCATCTTCATCTGACCCTTCTCAGATGAAACCCAGAGAAAAGATGATAAGAGATGAAACACCTCTGTCTGGTTTGCCTTTTCCATCCTTCTGTCTGCATTCTGAGCCACAAATGCTACCAAATAAAGCTCTGCTTGAGTACACTACGAGAAAGCACCTGTCTCAAAGGCATCTCTTCTGTGGTACTACCTACGAACTGCAGTGGGCAACTATTTGAGTGGTCGAATCAATCCTTCGCCTTGTAAACACCTGCACCCGCACAGAATCTAGTGTCTATACATCCTTATATCATGTGTACCTTGTATCATCCTTACCACTGATACAAGTGGTTCGTTCGGTTACTTCCTCTTTGCATGTGCTCGTCTGTCCCCGGACCCGGCGGGCGGGCCCGGCGCTCGGTCGGTCCTGCGACCCACCGACCACGGGGACCCGCAGCATCTGAGACGTCCTCATGCCTTGGGACGGGTGGGGACGGGTAGGACGAAAGAAAACGGAAGACTTGGCATCTCCAAAGCATTCCAAAGCATACCCCCCAAAAGCAAACCAATGCAAACTGCCCAGAGCATACCAAACCCTTCCTGCTGGATGTTGGAGATCCCTTTGAGGAAAAACATCGAAGACTCCGTGCAAGTATTCACTCGCCAACGAATGATGTTTCATACTCTCGGTGCAAGTCCACATTCAAAGCAAAGTCAAAGAAGCACAACCTTTTGGCTCAAACTAATCCTTGCCACTCAGAGGAACAAGTCTCATAAGGCTGAGAAGTTGCCATCTGGCCGAATCTGGGAAGTTGCCATCGTCATCCCAACCGCGTCGCGTCGTCCCATCCCCGCGGATCCTCTCCACCGTGCGAGCGGCTCTCGAAGTCCGATCCATAGGTTCTGGCCGCTTCCATGTGGGTCCACCTTGGGCATCGGTGTGGTCACCAGTCATCTCACCGCGTGTTCGGCCGGAAAAAACCAACGAGTTTCGGTGGAGATGACATCCTGCGCATGTTGCGCAATCTGAAGGAACAGCTTCCAAATAATTATAATGTGTAGTATAAACTTGTTACTAGTAGCTTATTGTTTCTAACTGCTTCTTGTTACTACTAGTAAGGCACCTGCTACTACTAGTAAGGCACTTGTTACTACTAGTAAGGCACTAATCCTCACTTCCTGCAAAATCTGCACTCCCGGGTTTTCGGGTTTTGAGCATCCAGGCGAAGGGATGGGCAACCTCACCAGCTGGGTAAGGATGCGAACCTCGCGAGGCGGCGACTGCGAAACAAGCCTTAAACCAGCCTTGAACTAAGAAGACTGTGAAGAGTGCAGGTCTCACTGAAACTCCTGCTAAAACGTTGAGCAGCTTCCGGGGCTATCTTTGACCAGCTCCATCATGAGCTTTGATGAAGTACGAACCACTGCTTTTGGATTGACAACATGTCCCAGTCCCACTGATGCATCAAATTACTGATGTTCATTTTTGGTTGCACCTTGTAGGCCTGCGCCGCCACAAAGGCATGGAGCCCAAACCAAAGCGCCAGGAGCAGGTACCTCCGCGCAAAACTACAAGTGCAAATCAGAGTCACCCTGCAAACTAAAGGCAACGACTATGTCCAATTATAGTGGCGGCTAAAGCACTTCTGACCAAAGCAAACTGAGATAAGCTTGGACAACCGGTCAACTGCCTATTGCAGGGAAAAACTTTTGAGCGAATTGACTGAAGGGTCTATGCCACAAAAAGATTCTTTTCCACCAGAACTATATAACCGAGTACATATCAGTTCAAAAGTGTCAAAAGAAGCCTGCAGCGTCAATTCACTTCCCACAGGGAGCGACAGAACTTTCGTTCTTGTGCGACAGGGCACGAGATGCAACTACAAATAGCCAGCACCTTGAAAGGTTGCGGAAGGCGCTTGGACCAGCATGCCATTCCGAGACGCGGCTAGTCATGGACCGAGGAATTGAAAGGGGGGCGATGCCAGTGGTCTCGGGGGGAATCACTGGTGGCACTTCCGTTCGAGGTGCTTCCGTGATCTAATTCCAATTGGCACTCTGACCTCCTGCTGGTCACATGCTCACAAAAAAAAGAACTGGGAATCGCACCGAATTGACCTTTTTTCTTCAAGCTGCTGCAGGACTACAAACCCAAAAGTAGCTTCCGCTGTACTAACAAGCCTTTTGGTCTCGTGGAAGGCAGCCTTCCTCTGCACATGAGAACCCCGTCCGCTTTCATTCGTCACCTGACTCCCCGATTCACCTTTTCCGCCGGTGTCTTTTGTCCCGGCGGTGCGCGGTCGTCGGGAGCCTGGGCGGTCCGCGAAACGGAAAGGGGAAGGTCCGTTGGATGAATGAGTTCAAAAGTATCTCCAATCAGTGCCTGAAAGGGGCTGTATGCCCTTTGGCAGCAGTATAGTATCGACTTTGGAGCTAAGATTGCTGACACACGTACCAAATCCGTTCCTCCAAATGTTGACCAATTGACCTTCGGATAGGCTTGCATTTTGGCAAGCTCTGGTTCATGTCGACTTTGGCCCACCATCTACCAAGAAGCCTTTGCCCTTCGACTTGGCTTCTTCTCCACGCGAGCCACCATACTTGGTGCCTCCCCAGGCCACTACCTCAACAGCACCAGTCGCCAGTCTTTCCCAAGAGAATCAGGTTGGGGTGTGGGTGTGTGTGTGTGTGTATGTCTGTCTCTCTCTCTCTCTGTGTCTGTGAAGACACTTCAGATGTGGAAATCCCATGAAAAGTCAGAAATCAAACGAGCCTAGAACAAATCCTGCAAGTTCAGGCCACACCCAAAAGCATGAGTCCACGTAGGACTTGCAAGGTCTACAAAAAGGCAAGAACCCAAGTACTACCTTTTGAACACTTCACTCATCACCCATCTTGATCGACAATGGTCCAAGTTCACCCAATGTGCCACACCCCAACTCAGCGCAAGGCACCATCCGCACTCCGAAAGGGACACCTAGCAACCTACTTGCACCCCTCGAAGAAATCCTGGTTGCATCCCCCCCAAAACCCAAAAAGCTGGTCTTTGGTTCGGTCTTCGGATCCTCGCGTTCCATCCATGTTCGTCGTTGTTTTCCTTTGATCCCAGTGACCGAGCCGTCACCTAAGAGAGCTGCGAAGGCGTGGGTGGTGGCCTACGCTTGGCTGAAAACAACCGGTTGGCCGAATGAAAGCTTTGTCGAATGAAAGCACACAAGTTGCATTCAAATTCTCCATTCAGTTGCAGCATAGTTGCAACGCGTCTGAGCCGCTGGAGCAACAAACGACTGCGTTTTGATATAATGAGTCGACAATTGCAAAGCACCATGCCACCTGCTCTCCCGGGTATTTACATAGGGTTTGTTTTTGATGTGGCTCCATCAAATCACCCACATCAAATCCATCCAGCCTCACCTCCATCCAGCCCATGGCCTGGATCTGTTGCACATCTTTCAGTCGCTCCTTCACGCGCCCGCAGTCCCCGCCCCCGCGCTGGGAGCCCCAAGTGACGACACGCCCATCTGTGCACAGGGCGGCCTCGGCGGGTGTTTGGGGGGACGTTCCGCTGCGTTCCTTGGAAAAACTCCAACCCAAACGAAGCCATGCTAATCCACAAAAAGGTTCCTGTGATGTCTCTCTACAGTAGATGCAATGACATTGACCCTGCTGCTAAGTTCCAAGATTCATGTATATACTGTATACTGTATACCTCGCAAGCGTCGATCTATTTTCCAAGCTTTTGATGTCCAAGGTCCTCAAAGCCTCAAGGGCCTATCATGGAGGGCCATCCAAAATTGATCAGGTCGAGGTACAAAGGCGTCACGGGAAGCTTGGATTTGTTGCACCTCTACCAGCTGCGCTTGCACGTGGCTGGAATTGCCACCTGCCAGGCGAGACTCTTTGTCTTCCAAAGTTTTAACTGCAAAAGGCCTATGGCCTCTTGATATAACTCAATGTTCCCTCTCTGTGTGTGTGTGTGAGCAGAGAATTCCACATTGATCGACTGTCTGGGCGCCACAGCATGTTCCCAAAAATTTGTCATGGTGTGACAATTCTTTGGAGCGGTTCTCATCCTTATTTGGGATGAGAAAAGGCAGTGTGATTCGTGCTCAACTCACCTGTCGAGTGGCAGTTGACAAGGCTGTAGTTGGTACATCAAAGTCGTTCCAAGAGGAAGAAAAGCCAAGTTCCAAATCCAGGTTCTACCTTGCATTGTTCCTTTTCCTTTAGACCAGGTCCACTGGTTCTGCTTGGTCTCAAGTGGTGCAGCTGGGTTTGTTGCCGTTTGAAACACTACGCACGGGCTGACAGTAGGCAAAGCGTCCCCAAAAGACCCAAATGCACAAGACTGCTGAAATCCTTCTTTCCTTAAGCCCTTTTTCATGATTGTTCTTTCCAACCAAAACCAGTCCCGCACTGGTTGATCGGTGAGAATGTCGGCGCTGAGAACGGGCTTCTCTCCGCTTCCTTCTACCCCAGGTGCCAAGTCGTTTCAAAAAAAGTGCGGTTTCATTTTAAACCTCACACTGTCCATGCGCCACGTTTTGGCTGGTGCAGAGTCCAGAGCAACCAGGACGCCGACGAACGACTAGACAGCACGACGCATGAGTGATGGCACTCCGTTTCCTTATACAGTCAGTAATACATGCACCGGGTCTGAAGGAGATGAAGAATCTGGTTTCAGACTCTGGATTCCCTGCTGGCAAGTCTGGATGAGCTTGAGAACACGATCATCTCGCTTCTTGCGCTTGTTTCGGACTTCCACGCGCAAAAGTCACGCAACTCACCAAAATCGATGTCTTGCTGAGTTCGTTCAGGCGGTCTGTAAGTGTCCCTTCCCGCCTTTGTCAGGATCTCCCCAGGTGACCACACTTCCATCCTGCAGAATCGCAGCAAAGGCCCCACCACTCGCTTGGATCCTGAAAATGCGAAAAGCGACGCGTTTTGCTGCGAAAGCGCATGGGGAGGGGTCGCTGGCAAAATCTGAAACATAGCTGTTGGCTTGAAATCTAACCCTGAGACCTGGAAAACGGGGCACCGTGATGGTCCATCAGAATGCTGCTGTGATCCATACGTGATGGTCCAACAGCGAAATTGACACTTTAAAGATGATATGTTCCCTTAGATTCCCTTAGTAATTAATAAAGTCAAAGCTGTGGACAGTTGTCCAAATACATCCCAGCACAGCAAAGATAGATCTTACCACTGGCAACCAATGTCTTAGCGGTGATTGATTTATGACTCGACAGGGATTCTCAAACCTCACCCTTTACATGTCCATCTTGGTCGAAGAGCTCTCCGATTTACGATGTCTCAAGCAACCCATGGTCCAGTTGCTCTCAGGGATGCCTCTGTGCATGAGCCATATCTCGCCACCACAAGCATGTCCCGTGACCCATCAAAAACCATGTCCCTCCACCGAACTCCGCCAAGCATCTGTTGCACCTGTCTCAACTTCCCCTGCATCTGGACGCTGTCGCCGGCATCGCCGCCCCAGGTGACCACCTCACCGGCCGCTGTCAAGGCAGCGAAGGCATAGGTCGAGGCTTGGATCTGCTGGACGTTGCGCAGGCGATCCTGGACGTCACCTGGGCCACGACGTGGAAGACAAGAGCCCGCATTGCTACCATGCAGCTTTTGAAGACCTTAAGCCTTAAACATCTTAAAACCCTGTCACACGCCGCTGTTCTCTTCAGAAAGTGAACTCTTGTCACACGCCTTGTGCCTTTTCCAAGTCCCACTGCCTCCCAGTGACGACTATCTCCACCACTCTGGGGACAGCCCCAAGTCACCACCCGCCCCGTGCGCAGCACGGCCGCGAAGGCCGCGCGGGTCGCCTGGATCTGCTGGACACCCGTCCTGGCGAGGCGCTCGAGGCGGGCGAGGCATCGGTGGAACGAAGGCAGTGGTCTTTCTTCGGTTGACACCACACGGAGACATCGGTTGACAACGACAACATCAGTGGAAAAAGGGCCAGTTTGCAAAAGTTAGATTCTCCAACATTCTATAGAAGTCTCTCTGGAAGTCTCAAACCACGGTGAAACTGGGCCCAAAAGCCGATGAAAACAGATCGACATGGAAAGAGTGCTGTAGGCAAAATCCAGAAGACACAAGGCAGCCATCAAAAACTCTTTGGCAGCTCGCTTTGCTGACTTGCCGCAAACCAACAGTTTGCATTCATTTAACCATTGGGCCTACAGTTTCTATTCCAATCATATGAGCCGGGCATTTGATGATAGAGGGATATACGGGATATACTAAGAGACAATAGATTTTGTTCAGAGTAGAAACTCTTCGGCCTGTAGGAACAAAGCGGGGAAGGACTGTAGTCTATATAACCACAAGTACGCTTACAAATCTTACAACTGTTGCGGAGTCTGTGCTCTCATTAATCTTGCTTGTGTCAACGCTCATAGGTCGCTGCTTTCTGAATTCAAGTCATTACAGCTCATCATAATCTTTAGACTCGAAGACTGTAAACTGTTTGACATGTTTATGTAACGCATGAATCTGAAGAAAAAAATTGCCATGGGCCCACCTCAGTCAATAGAACATTCTTCTCCAGAGGTAAGACAAAACTGAGAGCACATTCAAAACATGACGTCGATTCTCAAGGTCGAAGGTTCCAAAAGTGGTACAAGGGACCTGAGAAATCTCACGACCAAGATTCAGCTGCTCTTGCACGCTGCTAGAGTCTCCTTGCAGCTTGCAAAAGTCTAAATAGGTCACATCTCTCAAGAAGAATCAACTTTCAGATCCACCATCCTACCAAGCACTTTCTCAACACTTGCGAGACTTCACCCTAAACACCCACACTCTTTCATATCATCTCCTCCTTTCTCTGTATCACCCCAGCTCACCACCGTCTCGTCTCGGCCAATCGCCGCGAAGGCTGCGTAGGACGCCTGGACGCTCCGGACGCCGCCGCAGCGCCTCAGCGCCTCGCGCACCGCGGCGGAGCAGCTGCCCCCGCCGTGCGGAGCGCCCCAGGCCACGAGGCTCCCGTCGCTCCGCAGCGCTGCAAAGGCGCCCCGGGAGTTCTGGACACACACCACCTCAAGAAGCTGCTCCTGACTGAGCCAACCAGGTCGGCGGCGACTCGGTGGGCACATCTAAGCTGCTCCGGGTCTGTTCGGAGCGAGACAAACGATGAGCACATCTAAGGTTGGCAGCACAATCGCTGGAAGTTCAAGGATCATAGGGCCTCATTAGTTTGGAACTTGGAACTTGTATTGTCCCATCCAACCGAAGCCAACAGCCTCCCCTCCTGCACCGCACGTGCATCACCGCCGAAGATGGGGTGGCCCCAGACCACAACTGAGCCGTCGGTCTTCAGTGCTGCAAAAGCTGCACCGGTTGACTGAATCTGCTCCACCGAAGTCAACTGCTCCTGGATCCAGTCGTGTGTCCTTTTCCGTCCGCTGTATTCAGCTCTGGAGAAAGAAACTCTTTTTGGCCACAGCTTATGAAGATCATCCTGCACTAAACTCTGATCACTTACATCGGACCGGCACAGACCGGCACAGCGAGTGGCACAGCGGAGCCGCGGTGTGTCCATAGCGACGCGACGCGACGGCGCCTGGACGCCGCTGCAGTCGCCTCCGAAGTCCGGATCACCCCAGGCAACGACGCGCCCATCGCCGCACACGGCGGCGAAGGCAAAGTCCGTGGCCTGAACCTCCTGGGAGGGAGAACCAGCGCATGGCGCTAGCATGGTGCTACCAAGTGTGTGGGTTGCTAAAGATAATTCAAAAAAAGAAAAATCCTGATTGTTTGTTGAGTTGCCATGGCTCTTTTGGCAGGATCAGTGGTATGGACCTTGAGAGGAGATACTGTATATAAATGTTTGAGGTGCACTCTGGGAGAGCTTTTTTGGATTGGATACAACAATGCGTCTGCCCAAGTCTCTTCAAAATCTAAGAATGGTGGCATGCGTTTAATCCAGCTGAGGTTGAAATGTTGATGCAGGACCCCCCACGTTCTGTAGCGTATCCACACCGAACAGCTTTTTCCAGCGCCACAAAAGTCTCAACAAGGTGCTGCAAGCCACCCATGCCCCAGCAGAACGCCCAAAAGGCGTGTCTGCTCATGGCACACCAGGGCCACAGGACCCCTGGTTTTCTGCCTCGCCCTGAGGGCAGGGTGTCCACACAGTCGCACATGCATGCGCAGAGCTCTCAAAAAGGGCGCATAATCTGTCATTAAAACCCAGGAAGCCTGTACAAAGTTCCAAAAGCTCAGGCACTTGGAGGCCACGGCCATGTCTCTTCTCTCATTTATCCGTAGCAAAGATAGCCACCATCCACAGGAATGCAAGCGCCATTCACCATGCCGCTCCTCTGAAGATTTGACACAAAAGGGTTACAAAGTTGCTGCACCTGCCTACAAGAAGCCCACACCTTTTGATAGATGGTTCAAAGATACGCGGCACGCGTTATGTTCACCACATGCTTGACCTCTGCAAGGTGGATCTGGCTTGTTGACGGAACGAGATATCAATCTCCGCTGAATCACTTCTTCTAAATACCCTCATTCCGTGGCTGAAGAAACTGTGGACAGTAGGGACGGTAGATGTCCGTTCCGTATGTACGTTCAACATCGTGTCCCTCTTTTTCACCAAAAGATCCTGTTCTTTCACTTTCTTTCTATCACTGCAGAATGTCCCTGCCGAGTGATCATTGGTTCACGGCACTGGATTTCACGTCAGGAAGACTCCGGACACTTCGATCGACTTCGATCGACACTTCGTCACCTCCGCTCATCCAACAGGAAGGCCACCACACTGGCGATCTCCTCGGGCTCGGCGAAGCGGCCCAAGGGGATCTTCGAGAGCATCGCCTCACCAAACGAGTGACCCCAAGCTATCCGGATAGACCCAAGGAGAAGCCTAGTTCTAAACCACCTATCACGGGCATAAAAGCCTTCCCAAGAAGAAAGGCTGCCCAGACCTCAACATCCACACCTTCGTCTTCTGCTCTGCCCTTCACCCCCGCCTGCGTCTCGGGGGGCCCCATCCGGCCAGGCGGTCTTCCCCATCTCGGTGCGCACCACCGTGGGCTTCACCGCATTGCAACGAATCCCGTGGGGGCCCAGTTCCACTGCCAGGTGACGGGTGACCTGGTCGATGGCTGCTTTGCCTCGGCTTTCGTGCTGCTTGCAGCCATGCAACAAGAAATTGTGAACGGTGGAACCGCTGTGTAACTCAGGTCAAAAGAACTCCGAAAAAATGTGCTGCCCAACTGCTCACGCTGTAGGAGGTGTGTGCTGGAAAGACACGGGTGGAGCTTTGCGATGACACGTTCACCACGGCCCCGCGTTGCTTCTCGGCAACCCGACCCTGCGCCCAAAGCTGCGCCAGCCGCAAAGGAGCAGCCACGTTCACCTTGCTGGCTCAATATGGTTCAATCAATGGCTTCATTCTCACTGGTGAACAGAATGTGACACCAGAATTCACCCAAAATCACACAAGTGCTTCTCACCACAGAATCGCCCGTACCTCACCCAAAAAATACCCAACCCAAAAACCTCTCTCGTTCTGCCCACCGGAGCCCGGTCCGACCGACCCGGCCCGCCTGGAAGCAACGTTGCACCTCTTCCGGACCGGTACCCTCCAGCAGGTCGGTGAAGAGCCCCAGCCCGGCGTTGTTCACCAGGCCGCCCAAACCTCCGGTGCGGAGAATCCGAGGCGACCCGAGGGGATGGCCGGCGTCTTTTCGGGATGTGCGCGGTGCTGAAGATGCAATTTGACAGGGGGAGGACTTGTGACTTTGAGGAATCTGAGACAGATTGATCCTGTACATATGCAAGTTGGATGGGGATGTTCAAACCAAACTTTGGCCGGTGCAGACAAATTCCTACATCTGGTCTGACCCACAAACAATAAAAATGCAGGATGTGGCGGACATCCAAATATATATATATATACAATGATTCCAGCTTGCCCTTGCTTCAAGCACGAGTGCCAGTAGAATCAAATGTCCTTGGCAGGGAATAGCCACCTTGCTTTGATGCTTCCATGGTTTG